GCAAAGCTCAACATCCAACACCACAGCCAAAGTCTGGAAGAAGTTTAGCACAGTGTGGATCTTGCCTTTGGTGAGCCCGATCTGAGCAGAGAAACACCACCCAGCCCGAGAGGGAAAGGCACACTGGGGCCTCCTGACCTTGGCTCCCCAAGCCACCCGAGGATGTCCTTCTGCAGCTGAGTCATATTTTTAGGTCCTTCTCCCTGCTGATTCATTAGTGCAGCTAATGTTCTCCAAACTGCTGGGCTTCTGACCCTCGAGGTGTGTGCACCATGCACTCCTGACAAATATAGACCACTTCAATTACATAACCTGTCTAATAAGCACCACCCGTCCTCCCTGCGGGCACGAGGGGGACTGGGAACTGAAATGCCTCTGCCAGGGGTGTGAATGGATGGCTCTCTCTTCATTTTATTTCCACTGTCTTCTGTTTTCAATGACTTCCTGCTGCATCATCTAAACGAGTGACTCAGCGAGGGTGGATGGTGCTGGAAGTACTCCAGGTTCAGGGCGACCTCTCTGCTCTGCCCACCACTGTTGGTGTGCGGGGCAAAGCCCCCCTTCCTAATCCTCCCCTCTGCTCAGGAAAATGTGGTAGAGTGGGAGAATCAGGATTTGGAGAGTCTGAGCTAAAAGCTGGGTTTGTTTCCTAACTGGATGTGTCAGAACATTTGGTAGATGAGGGGTAACCAAAGGACTTTATACTGAGGTCTGTCACTGGAAAAGTCACCTGGCTTAGTCAACAGAGCAGCAAAAGCACCTACCTGTGTGCTGTGGCAGTGCAGAAGGCTTCAAAAGTCCATGTGCTTGGTAATAAAGACATTTCGGTGTCGAGTTGTGAGACATCAGTGGAGTCAGGCTGTGATCTTACAAGATGAATGTCTGATAACTGTAGGACGTAGATGTGACTGCAATGGCTGAGTGGCAAAATGCAGAGTAATCATTAAAAAGAGCATTCAAAGTACAGAGTGAAGCACATTATTAATAGACTTGACAAATGCACGCACAAGTGGGATGAATTATTTTTTTTTTGTGCTGTGGTTTTTAACCCCTGGCCTCTGGTTCCTTGCAGCACCTGCATGGAGCAGACCCAGGGAAACCAGGCCAGCCCCACAGSAGGAGGTTTTCCCCCTTGGGGGTGCAAGGCTTGTGTTATCTGGAGGGAGAAGGAGCTGTTGCCACCATCTGTACCCAGCGCTCACCATGGGTTTGGCAGCCCTCAGGTGGCTGCAGCATCAGGATGGCACAGCGCTGCCACGGCAGCTCCAGAGATATTTATGACAAGGACCACTCCACCTATATTTGTTGTTCCTGCTGTGCCAGCACCCAGCATGTCCTGTAATAACTTTAATAGCTTTTATGCAGTGGCTAGGAATGATGAAGCTAATTCAGGATAAGGTATTTAACCTCCCCGCTTTTATTCCTGTCTGTCTGATCTCTTCCCGCTGCCCTCACTGTTGGATTCAGGCTGAAGCAGGACAGAAGCCTCACCTCAAAGTGGTGGGATCTGCTCTGACCTTCACAAAAGCAAGGAGCTGTGCTTTTGCTGCTGGACTGTGCCTCTCCTGATATGCCATGGCTGCCACTGGGTGTCACTTGAGGAGACATCTCCAGTCTTGCCAAACCCCCTGGGATGCAGGAGGTGTGTGACACACGCCACTGGACAGTGACAGRGCCAACAGCAGAGCCCAAGGCCTTTGCCCCAAGTCCACAGTCTCCCCGTGGRGCCACCAATGTGGGACCTGTCCCAGCCTGCAGCAGAGGACACCAAGCCCCAGCACTCCTTGCCTGCAGTGCCCTCTTCTACCTCCCGTCCTTAAATGATGCAGAAAGTCTGGAAAGGACTTTCCTGCTGGAAGGACTCAGCGGGAAGCAGCTAATGCAACCTCTCTTGTTCATCCACGGGACTGATGTCCAACGGGTAATAAAACCACAGGCTCCTTTCTCATTATCCCTAATTATGCTCTCTCTCACTCACAAAGCACTTTCTGTCATTAGCAGTGGAAAGCTGAGAGCTTTTCTTTAACCTTCACATGTTGTGAGGAGGCAGACCTGAACACCTTGCTGTGATCTTGCATAAAACATTCCTTGTGCTGYCTCTCAGGGGCTTCTGAAAAATAATTTCCCTTTCCCCAGTGCAGGCAGAAAGCAAAACCTCTAGAGCATCTGTAGTGAGAGGCTGGAGATGTCCACTGGGTGTGATACTTGACCACTGAGTGACCACGAGACCTGGCTTGCCCTTGCCCTGCTGCAAGAGCCCAGTTGATGGACCACAGAGTCCTGAGCCAGCTCCTGGTCACTCATCCCAGACAGACAAGGAGACCAGACTACTCCCAGAGCATCAAGATCTTGATTTAAAGCCAGGCTGAGCATGAAGGCTGAGGCACCCCACGTTCTGAGACCGTGCAAGCACCCCTCCCTTGGTGCAGGAGCAGGAACTGTGAGAGAGCAGAAACCGCAGCTGAACATAAGCCCTGCTCTCAGCTGTGCAGACACAACCCCACCAAATCGGCAGGATGAGGTCTCTGGGGGTGGCAGGGATGGGTGCAGGCAGCTGGGTGACTGTGTCTGGAATATCTGTGCCAGTGCTGGCTGCTGCTGGCCATGTGGCGTTTGCTGCCGTTATCCATCAGCTGTGTCCTGTGCTGTCCTGCCCACGATGAGGGGACTCACTCCCAGCAAGGCCTCAGGGGCYGAGAATCATCCCTGTCGCAGATGGCCTGGCATCAAACGCGCAGGTGAGTGTCAGAGCCCGATGCCAGACACATCCCCGGCTCCCAGGATGTGAGCTCCCCGTGCTCTGTCCCTACCCTGGGCACAGCACCTCTGGTAAGACCACCAAGGCCCCCTGAGGGCTGGTGGGCAGCAGCTCCTTTCCCAAGCAGCTGCACTCTTCCCAAGAGCTCCTCTCTGGCTTCCCAGCTGCTGGCTGAAGCTTTGGGATCCTGTGGGATGACRCTCCCTGTCCCTTTGTCCTTGCGGTGGCCACAAGGATGTCACATTGTTCATGCAGGTGCCCTCACAAGAGAGCAGTGTGGATGAGGAACTGGATCCAGTCCTGTTCCTTGTGGGTCTGTCCAGGGACAGAGATGTGCAAGGAGCCTGCAGTGTCAAGCAGTCCTCAACTGCTGCCTTGTAAACCTGSCTGGCACAGCCCAATCCGTGTGGGAAAGCAGCTCCAGGGGAACCTGCTTTGAGCAACTGAAGCGACAGAGGGTGCCCCAAAACCTTCTCGTTTCTTGCTCCTGGGAGAGAAAGAGGAGAAGGAAGGCACAGAGCAATAAAAGAATCAGGAAAGTTTTGTTTGCTGCTGAAAGAGGTTGTTTAGAGCATTTCCTTTAAATGCTGCCTCTGCTGCTGCAGGGATTGGTGTCAAGGCCTGTGAGAGGAAGCACAAGCTCAGGTCCTGAACTGCCCATGTCCAGGACTGCGTGTTATTATCTGATCCTCAAGTGCTGGAAGGCTTCCCTGCTGTGACCTTGAGATCAACCCACTGGCTCTGATGATTTAGGCCCATCACAGAGCACCAAGGAAAGCCCTGGAAAGTGGGGACCTTTGCTTTAGGTAGCTATAAAAAGGGCACTTGAGTGAAGTGAGTTCAGAGCTGAGATTCAGAGAGCTCTTTCAACAGCCCTGGCAGGGAGTGCAAAGCTGTAGGAAGCAAACCTGGGGCCCTACCAGCAGGGAGAACACYTCCACTTGAATAATTTCGGTGGATAATCGGGAAGGGAAACAAACTGTGCCAGTGGGGAGGGGGATGATGAGGCAGCTCCTTGCCAGGAAGGTGAGGGAGCACCTGGCTGCCAGGCAAAACAGGGATTGCATAAGGCAGTGCTGGTACAAGGGATTTTGCAAAGTTCTCTGGAARGGTGGGCAGCTTCCCAGCCTGCCAGTGGGAATCTYACTGACAGTRAGGGATTRTTCTATCCTTAAAGAACWCAGGGTCTTGCACAASTGCCAGGACAAGAAGCAGRAGGAGCYATTTGCATGTCTTTAAACACAGKACATCCATGGAGAAATGGAAAGAGMGGAGACAGCACCCTACAGGGCCCCACGGGCAATGCCAGCATTAGTGGGCAGGAAAGAACAGAGAGGTTCCTCCTGGGGCAGTACAGTGGTCCTGGAGTCCAACCATCAACCACCAACCAGCCCAACCACTCCATGGAGGATGTTCTTCCTGCCCTCAAAAGATGGTCTTCTTTCTCAAAAGATGCCCAAGTAAGGAAGTGTTTAAACACAGACCTTTCCCTCAGCCTCTACAGCAGGTGACACATTCCCAGCAGCTGTACCCAGCACTGGCCAACACCTTCCCTAGCACCTCTGCCCTGTTACCCCATAATTTCCCTCCCCTTTGGGTTCAGTGTTAATCTACATCCACTCCTCCAGCTCACTGGATACCCAGAAGTTCAAAGAGCAGAGCAAGCCTCGAAGGCAGGGAAAGGAACAGTGCAGGAGGGGGGCAGAGGGCAAGACCCAGCAGTGGTGTTAATGCCAGGCTCCTGTTGGTTTGAACTGCAAAGGAAATGTTTGAGTATGAAAGCCTTGGCCTCCATTACCAGTATTTTCTATAAGGACAGGTAAGACAGAGAAATACATTTTTTCATTGCATATTTGAATTGTGAAGAAATCAAGAGGAAGGGACAACCACCTTTCCAGTGACAAGCCATTAATTTTGACTTTGGGGGACCAATTTGAATGCCCTGAGCATAGATGAACATGGCAAATATCGTCTCAGCTGCGGAATCTGCTACCAAGGTCTCTGTTTCTTCTTTCTGACACAGGATACCTTCTGGAGATKTGTGTGTTTCCCTAGGGCCATCACAGCAAGGCTGTTCAGCACTGGGGGATTGCAGAGATGGGGGGTTCTCCTCCCTCAACAGCCACAAACCATGAGCTGAGAACTGACATGGACACCAGTCTGCCCCAGCCAGCCATGACTGAAGACAAGGCTTGCTCCTTGGGGGTGAAGTAAAAAGAAAACAGCAAAATTAAACACGTGCAACGCTTCAGGACTTTATTGTTGCTGTAGAGTAACTGGTACATGGTTAAAACATTCTAATAATATTATCAGTGAAATCTGAAAACTAAGGCTTTCTGTAGGTTTGAAGTATCCTGGTGTTTCCTTTTACACAGTGCACATATAAAATCAAGTTATAAAAACACAGATCTTTTTTAAACAACACCGATTGATGCAATGCATGAAACTAGGAACTACATTTCCTATGATCAAGACAACACCTTACAGACCAGCTTTRGGCCTTGCAGCTTTGAAGTCAAGAGAAAAATGTCTTGGTCTGACATCCTGCTACCCAGATGAGCCTGATGRCACACACACACTCTCTGTTCTGAGCAGAGAGAAAGAAACCCCCTGATGCTGATGAGGAAACATTTGATTGAGCAAAGGGGAGCAGCATCCTTAAAGTCTGGCCTTGATCTCAAACCATTATACAAGACCTGTAGGTCCTGCAGACAGAGCTCAGAGCTGCAGCTGCTGGGACTACAAGGGAAGGTGAAGTGGGACAAACCTGCTACTGAGTGAGATGAGTCCCAGTGCCAGTCCATGTCCCATGGAAGAGGGCTATGTGATTCCTGGAGTACTAGCACCTTGAACCCAACAGCACTGAAAAAAAAAATCAAAGTGATTTACCCAGCAGAGAATCACAGAATGATTTAGGGGGGAAAGGGTCACTGAGTCCAATTGTAAACCCAGCACTTCCAAAACAACCACTAAGCCATGTCCCTAAATACCATCTTAGTGATCTTCAAAAAACGAGACAGGATAGGAACAAAATAGTCTCCAAAAAACCTGTATATTAGAGCCTTTGGAGTAAAAAGTTGCATTTTCACCAGAGGAAAAAAAAAGCATTCACAGAAAAATCTTCCCCCAGTTCTTTAATCACTTTTTAAACAAAGAAGCTTCTCTATTCCCAAAACTTTTAGTTTTTATTCAACATTTTTTCCATCTTGCATTTCTAATTGACYTGGAAAACTATGGACATAATCTAAACATTTACAGCAGGCACAAAGCCAATACCCTTCCCTGTGAGAGGATATTTCACCTAGCACTTACTCTGCATCATGGAGATGGGCACTGCAAATGTGACMTTACCAGCTGACAAGTAGATTATTCTTTCTCTCTGATCCAAACACATGAGAGAGGAAGGCTAATTACAGATTTTGCAGGATGTTTTTACCACATTATAGGTGGTTACATGTTTGGCTCCAGCTGGGAGAAAAACCCCTTGGAAGGGTCAACAATGGATTGCATTGACTTCATTTTCRGAGCCCAACTTTAATTACACAGAGACATAAATCCTGTACTGTTCCATGACCAAGACTCACACCGATGTTCCTGATACATTTGATGATACCACAAAGCTCTCTGAACRACTGAGAAAAGCGTAGCTGGTATCTTATGTCACCAACACATAGAACCTATCCTCTGAAGTCATTCCTGAAGATGATGTTAAGGCTATTGGAGTAGGCTGGCTATGGTTACTCCTGGTATGAAAGCACAACCGTGGCTCAGGACAGACTGGAAGAAGCCTTTTGGGTCTCCACTGCATTAACCACAAATAAGGTTTTTAGGTTTTCCCTTGCAGTGGGTTACCTGAATGTGCAGGGTATTAGCTGAAGAAAAAACAGGCKATGTAGGTTTAAGATGCAACCATGCCTGTGATATCACAGAATTGCTTTAAAAAAAGACCTCAAGGCGAAAACCGACCTCCTTCCACTCATGACAATGAAACACCAGTTGTCAGGTACACAGATACAAACATGAAAAAATCATTAAGAAACATAACCCTAAATATAAACCTAGTTTTATTTATTTTTAAGAAAAAGGGGATTAAAAAAATTGGAGTAAACCAGATGGCTTCAAGTACTTTCCGCATACTAAACAATTAATTATTATAAGCAGAGATTAAAAAAGACTTGTCACCTTGCAAGGGACAGTTGAATAGAGGCTGGTGATTCGTTAAAAAAATGTTTTTTGAAACAAACAAATTAGACAACATGCTTAGTGTTGTAATTTAGGAGCAAACAGGTGTGCCCACCATRCCGACCCAACACATGAGATATGCAGCACAGTACAAGATACATTTTGCACTCCGGACTTTCACATTTCACAGCAATGTCACTCAACAAATGGAGCCAGGCCATCTGGGTCCAGCTCAAACAAGCCCTCATGCAATAAGGAACAAATATTTAGTAAGTCAGGAAGGTCTYGCACCAATTCAATTGATCAAGTTGTCTGAAATTTTTGAGGTTGCAAAACAATCTAACCTGAAGACCTGAAGTGTCTCGGAAGTGCTGGCACTGTTTTTGTCTTTTTCTACATGAGCATGAACATTACTTTTATTATATATGACAAGGAATACACTTGAAAGTGTCTTGTCTGAGTTTAAGCCTTCAGAGTTTCTGAATGTCATGAAAAAACAAGGGAAAGTATTATAGTAGGAGTCCCAAAAGAACCCCCCAAAAACTGTGAAGGARGTTGAAAAAGTAATGATGTCATCAGGCAAACACCCAATATGCCAAGGGAAGATGCAGCTCTYCCCTGTGCTAAGTCTAAAACCCAAACCCATCTCTTGTACCACCAAAGAGACAACCACTGCATTTCAACAGGTCTGTCTGACATGCATGGAACGAGCTGTCTTCCTGCTTATCTACATGGACACGTGAAATGCCAAAGGARGCAATGTGAAAATCAAAATTAATACTAAAGAAGAAAAAAAGATACCTTGCCTACTCTGAAAACAAAATAAARTGTTTTCAGTCGAAGAATGTCTACAAGGATACAAGGAAATCTTTCTGAAAAACATTTTCCAGCTGCTCAGAGACAAACAGCTATTTTTGCCCATGAGAAAAAAAACACCAAAAAACCAATAAAAAACAGCTCCCCTATCCTGCAGCTCTGCATATCACAGTAGGAACAAGTCTCCCACAGCTAACAGGGAGACTAAAACAGTATGAAACAATGAGAGRTAAAAACTTAGCTGCACAGGTCTATAAAATAATCAGGAAAGACTTAAATGGAGGCAGAGCCAGCACTGTTTTTTGCACTATGACACAAGACTGCAAGGCTTAAAAATCCTCCTGAGTGACCAAGCCAGAATAGCTGAATAGTGGTAGGTTCAGTAGTGTCTGGAAAAGCTTATGCAAAAATATTACTTCAAAAAATAAGTTTGAGTATTTGAAATAGAAAAAAGAAACAGAACAACTTCTCCTTCAACTTTCACCTACCATCAAAACTTACCAGTTTTCCAAATCTGGTGCTTACTTCACGMCAATGTGACTACAAAGAAATTCATACATCTGTCTCTCTTAGCTGAACTGTTTGGGTTTCTACATGAAACTCCAGTGCATGTCACATTTATTAATGTCCTTATGATTGTTCAATAATCCAGCAATTTGTTTCTTAATGACAGCAGAATGCAGCTGYTAGCTGCTTGTGAGAGCAATGCTGAAATTACATTCAGAGATTAAAAACTACCATTTTCACRTGTAGCGATAACTAACATTTTTCTTTCTCTTCACAGAATCATGTGCAAATATCTAACAATAGCCATAGTAAAAGACAATTCTCATGCAAAAATTGTTCCCTGTGCATAAAATTTGCAGGGCATTTCAAAATCACCCTTCCTCTACCCCAGAACTAATTGATTTTTACTTTCGTGTCTTGAAATTTCTGTTGCTTTTTGAAATACCGATGACAAGCGAGTTCAATGAGYTCCAGCCCACCGAATATCTTCTGTTGCACAACGAAAAAGACAATCATGGCTACAAAATACCACTGTGCAAAGCTGTAGAGGTACAGCAGCGCGAGCATTGCCAGCGGGAACACCGTCCAGTAGAGGAGCGAGGCGCATTTCACCGCCAGGACCCTGAGCTCGGATTTACAGGGTGGGACGATGCTCTGCCCCGTTGCACTGAAGCTTTTTCCACCTTCGTAGAAGTGTCGCAGTCTCTCCTCTTTCTCCTCCCAGCGCTGCCGGCACCAAAGCTGCAGCTCCTCCTTAGAAGTGGGCACTGTCTCTATGGGGTATCTCTGGACGTGGAAGTGAATCTCCTTTGGGAAGTTTCCATTCAAAAGGTGCTTCTCTGTCTGAGGAATGTTTTGGGGGTATGCCACAGTTATGTCATGGATGGCATCGAGATTGTCACCTAGAAGAAAGTTTGTGGGGAAAAGGATCAGTACAGATCATACAACAGCCAGAACACTAATCTGCTTCAAGACATGATTGAAAACTGTCCAAATTATGGCAGAAATCCCAGAGATACATTAACTATGCAGACTATGTTTCATCTGCTAGATTATCTAAAGGCTAAAAGGTCATACTTTACTCAATCACTGCTTGTTCTGAATCTGAACAAAAATCTTTGCAAATAAGATTATACACAGTACAAACTAATGCAGAATTACAATAGTAAGAGAAAAATGTCAAATTTAAAGGAGAGAAAGTGCATATCTGGCCTTGGATAAGAAGTGCTGTTGATGTCTTAGGATTTTTAGTTTCTCTATTTTCATGCCTCTGTATTCTTGTACTTCCCTAGTACAGCACTAAAAACTACTGTTCTCTCATCTTCAGACAAAACAATCCCTCTCTGAGCCTGAAACCAAGGACACTTTGCTGCCTCAGAGCCCCAAAATATGTAAACAACAGCGAATTGGGGGGGAGCAACTTTGGGGTGGTGACATCATCACCTGTAAAGATCATTGGAGAATTAAGACCCAATGTGTTAATAAGGCAGAACTTATAAAAGGTGAAGATCTTGTGACTCAGGGTCTGTTTTGGATGTAGCCTCACGTGGAGGCTTTTGTCTGCCCTAATGTACCAGTAGGCCTGTTGGCCTGTATTAAAGTTGTCTATTCTCATTCTCTTAAATTTGTCTGGCCTCTGTTTCAGATTAGCCTGATTGATAAGGCATCACTGTGAGTCTGATGTTCAGCTGTTTGGGTAAGGGGAGTGTACCTAACCATTTAAACAGCAATTACAGGTTAGAAATTCAGGGTACATTGATGAAAAAAACCCCTACTCTTCATTAGCATGTCTGATTGAGCCAGAACTCTTGAAAGGATATCAGCATTGCCAAAGCAAGGCTTGCTAGAGCATCCTTGTACTGAGTGATTTTATGTTTTGCACTTTCTAAATACTGTCTTTATCCCCCAGCCTCAGAACAGACATTCTTTTTAGATTTCATAAACGAAATTCTGCTAGTGTAAAACTGATCTAAAAATAGGCATGTGGTGCACTGGACGTTGCATAACTGTTAAGTTCTGCCAGCAGTGATTTATGTCGCTGTTTTTATTTGGCTGGCTGGCTCAGGGCAAAATAGAATTGGAGACTAAAAGCTGTCTCCAGTTGCAGCAATTGAAGACTTTTGCTCTCACAGATGATGCCTCTTCTTGCAAAGATGATCAAAACCTACTTTTTAGTCCTATTCTTCGTTTTTATTTGCTTCTCTTCCCTGGCATTTTGGTTTTCCTTTACAGTTCTAAAAATGACAGAGCCAGAATAGAAAGTTACTTTAAAAGGCCATGTTCAAAATGATGTATCTAAAGTTCAACTCCAAATATCACAAGAGGGGAAAAAACCCTATTCAGCCTCTCAGAGTATTTTATAATTGTGCTGTCTTAAAACGATCTCTCTCAGACAGTTTTGCGGCAGGTTACTTGGGATTTTAGAGAGATTTATAAGGCTCTTTGGAGGTCCATCCGAGCAAAACTCAATATTCCATCTTTTGTCTAGCTCTGGGATCACCTCCAAACGGAGCAGAGAATGTCTTAGAAACCCAGCCCTTACAAAGGGAAATAATGACCAGCCTGTTGCACAAAACATTGTAGTTTTGAGAACGGTTTGCATTTTTGCTCCCCTATTCCAAATATTTCTACCACCAGAATTACAGTCAACCTCCAGGACAGACATCCATCCCCTAGTTCCTGGCCCAGCCAGGGGAAAGGCTGCTCCATATACCTCCCAGAGATGTCCATCTCTTACAGCCTCCTCCCTCCTGGTCTCCAGAGCTCCTCAGGTCTAGTGGAACACAAAACCTACACACTTTACCCCAAGAGAGAGGCTGGAAAGCTCCAGCCTTCCTGATATCCTTGTATCAAAAAGCCTTTTGTGAAAAGAGTTTTTAACTAGATGAGTTTCTTGCAGTCATTCACGTCTGGGCAGCTAAACTATCAGTCTGCCAACTCCATGAATGACTTGAAAAATCAAGGCTTTACACTTAAGGGCCATTGGCATACAGACCACAGGTAATAAATCATCAGATCTGCCAAACATACAGATTTGTTGATTCTCTGCAAGCAGGATTGGCAGGACTCCCTGCACTCACACAGCTGGTCTGATACCTTTACAATGAAAGTGTATTTCTCCCCATGAATTCCTGATCAGAAACAGGAAAGCCTCTACTCCTTCCCTATGGATCCAGAGCATCCCCAGACTGTAGAAGGTCTAGACTACATTATGGCTTCTAAATCACCCAGAATAAAGCTCAAAGAGCTGCACAGAAGAGGGTGGACATTACTCTTTTGACATTGCATGTGGGAAATTGAGGCAAAGGATGATGACATGGCCTACTCTGTGTGTCCAGCCAGAACCAGTATCTCCTAATTCCACTGCAAGGTTCATCTATGAAAGTGTATTTTGCACAAGAAGAAATGAAACTTCAAAGGTAAATTCAGCATATCTGAAAGAACAGAAATATCAGAAAGAAAGAAGACCACAATACCAGGTTCATATGCAACAGGCCCCTTGTTTGGGTCATACATATTTAAGAACTCCACACAAATGGCAGCCTGAAGCTTTAATTCCCTGGCAAGGCAAGCTACAAGACAATCTGCTAAAAAGAAGAAAAGTCAACACAGAAGATGAAGGTAGACTATTCATAAGAAGGGACAGAATTCCCTTAGGCTAGGTTTAATCAGGCAGCTCTGAACCTGCATCCTTTGAGCTTCTTTACTGTCTGTTTCCCTGTGAAGTTGGGCCGTTGTCTCTGCCATCTGGAGATATCAAACAGCACGTGTTTCAGATCAATAGCAAAGTGCCAGTCAACCCGAWAATCAAGTGATCCTAAGTGAAGACAAAGGGCAGTCACTGACTAAAAGATGTTTTTCCACCTTTTAAGAATTTAAAGATCTGCTTCAAATACCTGTTTCTGCTCATTTTAAGAAAAAAAATTCCCTAAGGGAAACCATAACATTCTACTTCTCTAGAGGGTCAAAAGAGAAGTAAGCAAACATATCTGTTCATAGCTCAGAGGAGCTGTTGGAGGACAAAACACTTCTTGCAATATTTTTTGTGACATCTGAGGGATCATCTTTGTCCTGTGTATATCCATGTCCCATTGGGGAAGGAATGAAGGACAAAGAAAATCAAACAATGTTCAGAGATTTGCATCTGAAATCTAATTATGCTAAGAAACTGCCATTTAGGCTAAAATGTCAGGCAGGTAGCCCAGCTCCTCAGGACAAACAGAAACACTGGTTTCAGTAGCTTTACAGTGTCATGGCTTCCTTCCTGTAGTAGAGCTAGGTATCCTTCATACCCATGGATAACATTCTGTCCTGTGCTTTATAAAAGCACTTCAGAAAAGAAAGCACTGCAGTGTTCAGAAGTGAATATAAAGTCTATTTCTAATTATTGTTAAATGGCTGYAAACTTCACAACATGAAGAGGATGATTAATCCATGTGGCAGTCTCCATTTTGGGATGACAAAATACCTCAAAAGCACTATTCTTTAACTTACTAAACTTTCTGTGCCCCAATCAAAGTTATTTATATCTCAGCTTCGTTGATACACAACATTACTTCAGGCAATTACAATGCACAGCTGGTTGCTTTGGGCACTGTGCTCAGAGGTGGTACAGGGAGAACATGACCAGGCTCAGGACAAAAATACCAGCATCTGAGAAAGACACCGTTTTTAAAAAAAACACTTCCAAAGAAAAATGAGGATGTTTTCTTTCACTACACCAGTTGTTCCATCAGAATTTTAATCCATTGTTAGAGAACTTGAAGCATCTGGTAGCCCAATGCAGCTCAGTTTCTGTGACCCCCTGTCCCAGCAAACCTGAGCACACATTCCCAATGCACTCAGGGCACAAATATGTGTGCACTATACATGGACACAGCCAGCCAGCCACGGGCCAACATGGACAGAAAACAGCTCTTAAGCAAACAAAATGGCCTCATGGTGGTCCGCTCTCTGGCTCTTTAGGATAAAGGCCTGTCAGAGGGAATCATACACAGCACACAGATGTCCCTGTAACCGCCTGTAGCCAGGCTATGCTGCAGCTTGCCCAGATCCTTGGTTSTCCCAGGTGCTGCTACCTGGACACACAAGCTCCTGAGGCCACAGTCCTTCTCCAGGGGTGGGACAGAGGCCTTGCATGCACTGCCAACCTCCCCTGTGGCTTTACACACTGAGAACCACCCTGTAGGTGATCTTCAGATTCTCTTTTCCAGCTGCCTGTTCCTCTCCTAAACATTCCACCACAAGCCTTGTCCAAACCCCAAATGCTCTTCTTTGGCATCCTGCAGTGACTCCCAGAGCCCTGCCTCAGTGTGTGAGGTGATGGACAAAGCCCTCTCGCTGGGACTCCTGGCCCGTGGGCTGATGCTCCCCCTGTGACTGGGACAGGGGCTCTGTTCCTCTATCTGAGCTTTGGGGTTTTCCCTGCCTACTCTTCTGTCTCTGTGCTCCTTGGCATGGGTGCAACAACCCTTTTATCTCATAGCCTATATAAAACCTTACAACTCAGAGCCACCGACTAGGTTCAAAACAAAGATGTTTCAGTAAACTGAAAATGACTTTTAATTGTGTCTTCAATAATACCATTCTAGGGGAAGAAAACCCAGCCTGAATGTAAAAGGGAGAATTAAACTATTTTCAGCCTCCTTCAAACACATTCATAAAGAGAATACTGCAGTGCAGCTACAACTGGAGACAACTGCCAGAGGTGAAGCTCAGCCCTACAGCACAATCCCAAATGAGTGGGATGGATCCATCCCCTGGTCCTGCATGGATGGGCCCATTCCTTGTGCTAAAGCATCACTTGGGAGCTCAAGCATAGCCTGCTCCTCAGTTCTGACTCACACCAACTGCAAGGACACTTTCTTGCTCCTACACAGCAATGCTGAGCAAGCTCACTGCA